AAGACAATGGAGAGTTGCCAGTGCAATACATGTGAAAATGGTGTTTTGAAGTTAGAAAAAACTAGAAAAACACGAGATGTTAAAAAGGATGATGTTCTATTTCCATGCAAAATTTCAAGTTCATGTACGTTACGGGATGTGATCTGTGAAAATAAAAAAATCAGCACTGGATAGTGTCAAACGGTAACATCACTCTGTATTGTTGAATTTGTTTCTTTTTCATAGCTCACATCCCATAATGTGTTTCAACTTGGAATTTCGCATGGCAATAGAACATCATCTTCTTAACATCCCATATATTTTTTAGATTCTTTTAGAATTTACAAACATGATTTCCACAATGTTTTCTTTGAATGTTAGTTTTTAGGGCAGCGCTACACATCCGCCGACAGATAATCTGAAAAGATCGGCCCCCACAGCAGCCGTGAGATTGGTCCAACCACCGGTCTAACTTGTCCTCATTATTGCAACAAAGCCAGTGTTGCAGAACCCTCCTTGCAACAGAGTTCATGTTGCAGAGACATTCAAGTGTTGCAGTTTTTTGTCTTCACTCTCTTGCAACATAGATGATATTGCAGCAGGACTTTTGCAACATAAATAATGTTGCACAAATTAGAGAAAGAACAGGAGCCTAGGTGGAACGCGGGAGGCAACTGCGCTCGAGGGATCCAGATCCAGATCCTGCAACATACGAGTTGTTGCGTCGGAAAAACTACAACAAGGGTTCAATTGCAAAACCATAAAAGATAATACTAGGTGAGCCCTGTAGGACACGCGTCACACGGACGAAGCGGTGGACGCCCGCGTGTGATCCGCCGGCTGTAGCCAAGCTTTTCCCTGATTTTCCCTTGTGAGAAATGGTCAGATCTGGCTCATTCCTCAAAAGCTGTCTTTACATGATATATATATCCGCAACAATTTCTACTTCTAGTTCCAGGGAACGAATAAATCATTAAGTCCCCCTCTTTTTTAGTGAATCTTTGAAAGATAGATATTGTGATTAGTTCCCGACATACAAAGATAGACCCAACATACAAAGAGCTCCGAGCGATAACTTCGCGACCGCTGCGTCAGCAACTTTTCAATGGCTCTGATGGTATTTCAGAATTTCAAAGACGGCATCGAACTTTGCTCACGCCGCGCGGTTGACGAGTCCAGGCGGAAGATCGATTTACCCAAAGACTGGCGTGCAATTTTCAGTTTATGTAATGATGACCTTGTAAGAGTTGGTCGATTTAAACATGTAGCCTTTGGCCTTTCAGCGAAAGAAATGAGCATCGGGAGATTGAGCTAAAGTATCAATACACATGTTCATACTTCATACGACGACTCTACTCCACTCACGTCCTACTCTGCCACCGGCGGTCAATACAATGTATGCAGAGGTTTGTTTCTCCGTAGTACAAGTCAATACAATGTATGCAGAGGTTTGTTTGTACACAGTACAAGTCAAAACAGAGTTGTCAAATATCTTGGTCCCAGTGAGCATAAATACAACGAACATCACGGTAAGTCCTTTTCCATTCCTTTTCTTTTATTCACTCCTGTTGCCAGGCAGTTTCTTAGCAAAAGGTTGCTTCCCCTGAGAATACGTCTGAGAAACCAGTCTGAGAATACGTAAAAAAATGGGTCGTAGAAATTTAAGTTGCCAGATTTTTTTATTTTTTGCGGGAAAACGCATCAGATTGACACTCATGCATGACCAACGGTTCTATTGGCATTTCAACTTTGATTCCGTTTCAGTTTCATCTCCAAAACCTTCCTCCCCGAGCAACTCGATCGGTAGCAAACGTTGTGTTCATACCATGCTATCATCAGTTTCACACTTCCCAAGTTCCACGCAACTGCAGTCTGCAGCGTAGGAAACTTGACTTGTATAATAATAGCTTTACTGGATTCATACCATCCTTCAGTTCATTGCCAAATTTAAAGGAACTAGATTTGGCATACAACAAGCTAAAAGCGGGCAACGGGGGCTCTATATCTTCGCTCTCAAATTGCTCCAGATTGACTATACTGATGTTGGATGGTAACAATCTCCAAGGGAATTTGCCAAGTTCCATTGGAAACCTTTCCAGTAGTCTCCAGCAGTTTTTTTCTAAGAAACAACAAAATTCCGGGGCCTATACCGCCGGAGATTGGCAATCTTGAGGGCCTCAGTTGGTTGTACATGGATTACAATCTTTTCACTAGCAAAATACCGCCAACAATTAGGAATTTGTATAGCATGGTCTATCTATCCTTTGCTCAAAATTTGCTCTCGGGCGAGATACCAGATACTATTGGCAACCTTGTTCAGTTGAGTTCTCTAAAACTGGATGGGAACAACTTGACTGGAAAGATAACTGGAAGCATAGGACGTTGTACCCAGCTCCAAAATCTCAACCTTGCTCACAATTCACTAGATGGCAGTATACCGAGGAACGTCTTCAAAATTTATTCGCTCAGTGGAGAGTTGGACTTGTCACACAACCGCTTATCTGGGGGCATGCCAGTGGAAGTTGGCAATCTCATTAATCTGAACAAACTTAGCATCTCAAATAACAGGTTGTCTGGCAATATCCCATCCACTCTCGGACAGTGTGTGGTTTTGGAGAATCTTGAAATGCAAAGCAACTTCTTTGTAGGAAGCATTCCGCAGTCCTTTGTGAAGTTAGTTAGCATCAAATCCATGGATATTTCCCGTAACAGTTTGCACGGAAAAATCTCAGAATCCCCGCAACTTTGAGTTCTCTGGAAAAACTTAATATATCATTCAACAACTTTTATGGAGAGGTTCCAAAAGGTGGTGTATTTGACAACATGGGTGCAGTATCAATCCAAGGAAATGATCATTTGTGTACAAGTGTTCCAACAGGGGGTGTGTCTCTTTGTTCTCCACAGGTGGACAGGAAACAGAAGCACAACTCATTAGTTCTAGTCCTCAAGATAGTAATGCCACTTGTTGTCACTATAATAATTTTGTCCTGTATTGCGACAATTTATTGGAGGAAGAGAGTGCAAGGAAATACACATTTGCAAATAGTCAACGAGCATATAAAGAACATATCATATGAAGGCATTGTTAGGGCAACCAATAAGAACTCCTCTGCAAACTTAATTGGCTCGGGATCATTTGGAATGGTTTATAAGGGCAGTCTTCAGTTTAAGAAAGATCAAGTTGCTATCAAGATTTTCAATCTTGACATTTATGGAGCACAAAGGAGTTTCATTGCAGAGTGTGAAGCCCTGCGAAATGTGCGCTATCGGAATCTTGTAAAGATCATCACATCATACTCTTCTGTGGATTCTACCGGGGGAGATTTCAAGGCCCTAGTATTCCAATACATGCCGAATGGGGATCTAGAAATGCGGCTAAAAAATAAAGCCCTTGAACATGGTGAAAGAAATATTCTGACTTTAAGCCAAAGGATTAATATTAGTTTGGATGTGGCATTTGCTTTGGACTATCTCCACAACCACTGTGCACCTCCACTGGTACATTGTGACTTGAAGCCAAGCAATATTCTGTTGGATAATGATATGGTTGCATATGTCACTGACTTTGGCCTAGCAAGATTTCTGTTCACTACATCAAATGCATATCAAGATAGTTCAGCAAGTTTGGCCTGCCTAAAAGGATCCATTGGATACATCCCACCAGGTGAGACTAAGCGTATTCACAACATTTAGGTTCACTTTGTTCTTTATAGAGTCGTACAAATATTGCAGGTTCTCTAATTTTATTGTGCTTGTAAATGTAAATGCAGAGTATGGCATGAGCGAAGAGATATCAACCAAGGGTAAACTCAATGATGGTATAAGCCTTCACGAATTTGTTGATGAGGCATTTACAAAGAATCTTCATGAGGTTGTCGATCCCACAATGCTCCAACATGACAGCAATGCCGCTGACATAATAAAGAACTGTGTCATACCACTGGTTAGAATAGGCCTCTCTTGCTCCAAGGCATCACCCAAAGAGCGGCCGGATATGGGACAAGTTTCTACTGAGATCCTTAGAATCAAGCATATGGCCTCGCAAATGGGTGTATGAAGCAAATAATAGACATGACGGTAGCTGGTGACAGAAATTCATGTAAAGAAGAATAGTGATGACTTCTCCATTTTGAAATTCAGTTAGACAGTTGGTGACACTTGTAGAAAGTAACATTCTCTTTTGCCATCTCATTTTCTTTTTACAAGTGAGTAGTAATTCTACACGCTCAATCCGAGTAATCTGAGTTAGATTATTTGTGCGAGCAGTGCCCAATGAAATCAAGTTAGACCTTTTATTAGAAGCTGACTTGGAACCTCGAATCTGAAGTCTGAACATGACAACATGAAACTTGCCTGAAAAATTAAACTAGAACAGGGTGAAGGCCCAAGCCCATGAACAATCCAACACTTTAGATTCGAGTACTTCGTTGTATATGCTTATTACTATGGACAATTAAAATTAATGTGAATGTGTATGTGTATGAAATGCAATGCAATGCATTTTTTTTTTATGAATGTGTGTGTGTATTTGTATTTGCTGAGAGGCCATGCAGCTGGGGCTCAACCATGCAGTAACTAGTCAGTAACCACCGGGATTCTTTTCCTTGACAGCATGTATTGGGAATTTGGGATTACAAAATCGCAGCAGTAACTAGTCAGTAACCACCGGGATTTTTCTCCCCGCTCACAACACAAGGATTCATCACAACAAAATTATGAGTCACAGTACATACAGCCCAGCACGGGCAGAAGCCAGGGAAAGCTGCCCTGTTTTTTCTCCTATCCTATGTGACACAATATTAGTAGAGTTGATGCTAGTGTGCATCAGCTTGGATGCTCGCTATCTTCGGTGATCCAGCGTTTGCAGGCTGTAATTTAAACCCCGGTTCGTGAGCCGTCAGGAGGTTGCTGAACTTCAGTCTGAAAGATATTTTTTCTTCTTGGCGAATTAAGTCTGAAAGATCTCGTCTTGGACTGTCCAGAGCTGGGTACCTGGGATGCTCCTGGGTGCACTGCATCGATTACGGCCTACCTGGTGGATCACGCACCGGATGTAGAGGGTCTTCCAACAAGTCCACAGACGGGCTAGATGAACCATGATCAGGAGTTGGGTATGTAGGATCTTCGGGGGCGTTTAGACAAGCCTTGTCGGTTACATCTTTAACGGCTCCACGTGGACGTGGACGTGGACGCGGACGTGGACCCCCAGGAAGTGGGTGTATAACGAGCTCTTCGTGAGCAGGGAGCTTGTGGCTTGAACTGCCGGGAGTTGGGTATTTGGGGTTGTCCAGGGTGCACCGGGCAGGCTCTTCGATTACAGGGCTAAGCCTGTTACCTGATGGATCAGGAAGTGGGTGAACAACTAACTCTTCGTGATCGGGGAGCTTGTGGCCTGAACGATCTGGCAGAGCTGCAACGGAAAGGAGTAGCTGTTAGCTGGGATCAAAGGAGAGACGCGTGCGTTGCAGGAAGCATTAATTTGTTCAGGTTGGCGAGCTACCTGGGGTGACTGGAGGCTGAACGTCGGGGGCAGCCGGGGTGCAAGTTCCTGGAGCCGGCGGCGGAACGGCGGAGGAGCAGTAGGAGAAGACCTTGTCACTTGAACAGTCGGGAACTGGGTACTTGGGATGCTCCTGGGCGCAACGCGCAGGCTCGTCGGTCACAGCGCGACGCCCCCTGCGAGGTGGACGTGGAGGTGGTGGATCAAGAACCGGGTGTCCAGGATCTTCAGAGATATCCCAGGGAGGCTTGTCAGATACAGGTTCAGGTGTGCTAGATGAACCCTGATCAGGTGCACTGCTAGGATCTTCAGGGGCGTTCAGACAAGCCTTGTCGGTTACATCTTCAACGGCTCCAGGTGGGTGCGGACACGGACGTGGACGTAGAACCCCAGGAATTGGGTGAAGAACAAACTCTTCCTCGACAGGGAGCTTGGGGCCTGAAGGAGCTGCAAAGCACAATGGAGTAACTGCCACTCTGTTAGCAATGGCATCAAAAGGAGACGGCGTGCGTGCAGGAAGCATTAATCTGTGCGGGTTAGTATACTACCTGGGGGCTGGACGGCCGGAGCATCGGCTCCTGGGGTGGCCGGCGGAACGCCTGTGCCGGCCGCGGAGGACGAGGAGAAGAAAGAGCTCAGCCGTGGCTTCCCGTGCGACATGAGCAGCACCAGGGAGCGCAGAGACGACCGGGGAGCAAGTGCCATCCTCTCTAGCCCGCTACTAGCAGAGCTTGATGGGTGAGGATTGAGGGATGCCTCCTGGCCCCGGGATTCATGTGTTTATATATGTGTTGCAGAGAGGACTTCCATGTCTCACGCGCGCACCCAGCTGCCTTGACCTTCACCCAAGAGCCCATAATTTGTGTTCATCAAGTGGAAAGGCATGCGCTCATACCATGTGGTGGAATGGATGGTATAGTCCAGTCAAACACTCTACGTCTCTATCTACCCTGCCACTAGCCGGATAGATGCAATGGATTCAGAGGTTTGGAGGTATCTTGAGCTCTTGGCACATGTTGATATCTCAGTCCCGAGACTGCGTGCCAATCTGACATGGCCGCAAGTCAACCTTTCCGCTATTTTCATGTAGACAATTTGCATAAGCTTGATTTACCCGTCATATTTGAATGGATGGACCGCATGATGAGGGGTTAATTTGTTCATACCATGCCCAGCATGCCGTACGCCCATACCGTTGACATTCTGCAGGCAAGTTGCCCTGCCGCTGGTCTGGTGGTCAAGGCAGCGCGTGCAGACTTTGGAGCCGCCGTTCTTCGGGCAAGTTGCTGTGCCGCTGGCTGGGTCAATGAGGCATAGAGTCGTCTCATCTGAAAAAAGGTGTATATGAGAATACATGAGTTTGACAGACGGAGGTTGAGGTTCACACTAATGAAATCAACAGCCAGGGCCTCTTTGGATCGCAAGAGGATAACACATATATATGAAACGAAAATATAGTAATTTTACAGGCACACGCGCAACACAGACCATTCAAAATGCGTAAAACTTGCAGGAATAGTTGTTCGACAGAAGAAAGAAAGCGCACTAGAAAAGTGCATCTGTCATATGTGAATGAGTGTAAAACAAAGAAATTGCAGGAGAGTCGTCTCGTCTGAAAAAAGGTGTATATGAAAATACATGAGTTTGACAGACGGAGGTTGAGGTTCACACTAATGAAATCAACAGCCATGGCCTCTTTGGATTGCAAGGAGGAAAACACACACACACACACACACACATCTGTGTGAAAAGAAAATAGAGGAATTTGACAGGTACGCAACACAGATAATTGTAAAACGCGTAAAACTTGCAGAAATAGTTGTTCGACAGGTACACGCGCAGCACAGAATAAAGAAAGAGCACTAGAAAAGTGCATCTGTCACATGTGAACGAGTGTAAAAAAAAAAGAAATTGCAGGAGATGTTCGAATTTCTACGAAATTAGGTCATAGGAAATCAACCCAAAGAACTACAATGGCCTCTTATCTTTGTATGAAATGGCAGAGCTCCTGCCCTTGCCCTCGGCAAGTTGCTCGGAAAAAGCATTTGTGGAGCAAATCCGTAATACTGAGATCGTCCAAAATCCTATGAAATTCCTATGATTCAAAGAGGGCTTCAACCATTTATTTCCTGTAAAATTGAAGATAAAAAAAATCTATTCATCTCTTGTTATTCTTGTACACATGAGACAAATACCCATGGCATTTTTCACACAATTTGAAATGCGTAAATTCCGCATTCCATACATCTATTTTTTCACGTTTTTAAATATTGAATTGTGTGTCCATTACTTTTCAGGAAGAAGCGTGCATTCACTCTGACTTTGTACCTCAGGTAACTACACACACACCAGCAAGAGAGTCTAGGCATCATCCTGTCCCAGTCTGAGACGTGAAGGGTCAGATCTCTTAGCGTCCAAATGCGTGCTCACAATATAAATATTCCTCAAAGTGTTGACTTGAACAACTACTTCCAAGTTACAACTAATTCAGTGAGCAAATAGTTTGGATGAACACCAAATCCGATACAAAAGCATGCCGTCGTGCATCATCCCCGTTCCCACCATATCTATGGCTGAGCCACGAATATGTGTGCTATGTTGAGCGGTTAGCTACCGTCGCACTCCAAAGCTGAGTATTTAAACACCCTCCTTCACATGAGAGTTTTCATCTCCATACTCCATAGTTGTAACCTGTAAACAACAACAATGGCATTTTCTGCTGTCTTGTGTCCAGGATTTGTTTGGTTTCTATACCTCTTTACCTTCCTTTGCAGCCTACCACTAGCCATCTGTAATGAAACTGAAAATGATAGACAAGCTCTGCTTTGCTTCAAGTCCCGGCTCTCGGGTCCAGCAGGAGTTTTAGCTTCATGGAGCAACACGTCCCTGGACGTTTGCGAGTGGCATGGGATCACCTGCAGCACGGTGTCCCCTCGTCGTGTGATTGCGCTGGACCTTGAGTCAGAAGGCATCTCAGGCTCCATATCACCTTGCCTTGCCAACCTGACCTCTCTTGCAAGGCTGCAGCTGTCAAACAATAGCTTCAATGGTGGCATACCATCGGAGCTTGGCCTCTTGAACCGGCTCCGCGACCTCAACCTCAGCTTGAATACTTTGGAAGGTAACATACCGCCATCTTTGGGTAGCAGCCATTCTCTTACATATGTCGATCTTGGGGTGAATGCTCTAATAGGGGTCATCCCGGAGTCCCTAGCAAATAGTTCATCCCTCCAAGTACTTTGGCTCATGAGCAATAGCCTTACTGGAAGCCTACCAAAGGCTCTCTTCAACACATCATCTCTTATTGGCATTTCCCTCCAAAAGAACAAACTTGTTGGTTCCATACCTGTTGTTACGGCCACCGCTCCCCCTATTCAATACCTCGATTTAAGGAATAATCATATTTCAGGAAAAATACCTTCTTCGCTAGGGAACCTTCCTTTCCTTATTGATCTTCGTCTTACAGAGAATAATTTAGTCGGGAGTATACCAGACAGCTTAGGTCATATTTCAACACTGCAGGTACTGGCCTTGACAGCCAACAACTTGTCTGGGACAGTCCCACCATCTCTCTTCAATATGTCATCTCTGACATTTCTTGGCCTAGCAAACAACTCGCTTGTTGGAAGATTACCCTCCAATATTGGCTACACACTCCCAAATATTCAGGGTTTAATCCTCTCGTCAAACAAGTTTGATGGCCCAATCCCAGCTTCTCTTCCCAAAGCTTACAACCTTCGTCAGCTTTACCTATATAATAACAGCCTAACTGGGTCCATACCCTTCTTTGGGTCATTGCCAAATTTGGAGGAACTTGGTTTGTCATACAACCAGCTAGAAGCGGGAAACTGGGGATTTGTCTCTTCACTTGCAAACTGTACCAGGTTGACTAAGCTGATGTTGGCTGGGAACAGTCTTCAAGGCAAGATGCCAAGTTCGATAGGCAATCTTTCTGATAGTCTCGAGTGGCTGTGGCTAAGGGAAAACCATATTTCTGGGCCTATACCACCTGAGATTGGCAATCTTAAGAGCCTCAGCAGGTTGTATATGGATTACAATCTTATCACTGGAAATATACCACGAACAATCGGTAATTTGCAGAGCTTGGTCCATCTATCCTTTGCACATAACAAACTGTCAGGGCAAATCCTGGATACTATTGGTAATCTGGTTAAGCTAAATTCTCTGAAATTGGATGGCAACAACATTAGCGGAAGGATACCTGCAAGTATAGGACGTTGTACTCAACTCCAAATACTAAACCTTGCTCACAACTCGCTAGAAGGGAATATACCAAGTGAAATCTTCAAAATTTCTCCGCTTTCTGAAGAGTTGGACTTGTCACACAATTACCTATCTGGGGGAGTACCAGTGGAAGTTGGCAATCTTATTAATGTGAACAAAATTAGCATATCAAATAACAGGTTGTCCGGCAACATCCCATCCACTCTTGGCCAGTGTGTGGTTCTGGAGTACTTAGATATTTCTCAGAACAATTTGTCCGGAAAGATTCCACAGTTCCTCACATCCTTAAGTTCCCTGCAAAATCTCAACTTATCCTTCAACAATTTTGGTGGGGAGGTTCCCAGAGGTGGTATTTTTTACAATGCTAGTGCAGTGTCAATTGAAGGAAATGATGATTTGTGTACCAGCATTCCAACAGTAGGTATACCTCTTTGTTCCACACTAGTTGACAGAAAAGGAAAACAAAATTCCTCGGCTCTAGTCCTACGGATAGTAACTCCAACCATTGCTGTTGTTATATTAATTTTGTCATGTATTGCGACAATTTACTGGAGGAAGAGGATGCAAGCAAATCCACATTTGCAGGAATTTGATGAGCATGTGAAGAAGATATCGTATGAAGACATTGCAAGGTCAACAAATAGGTTTTCTCCAGCAAACCAAATTGGATCAGGATCATTTGGAGTGGTTTATAAGGGCAGTTTGAAGCTTCAGAAAGATCAAGTTGCCATCAAGATTTTCAACCTTAACAATTATGGAGCAAATAGGAGTTTTATTGCAGAGTGTGAAGCCCTGCGAAATGTCCGTCATCGGAATCTTGTAAAGATCATCACTTCATGTTCTTCTGTGGACTCTACTGGGGCAGATTTCAAGGCGCTAGTATTCCAATACATGCCGAATGGGAACTTAGAAATGTGGCTACATCCTGAAGACCTTGAACATGGTGAGAGACATACCCTGACTTTATGCCAAAGGATCAATATTGGCTTGGATGTAGCATTTGCTTTGGATTATCTTCATAACCAATGTGCATCTCCACTGATACATTGTGACCTAAAGCCAAGCAATATCCTTTTGGATCTTGACATGGTTGCGTATGTCTCTGACTTTGGGCTGGCAAGGTTTGCATTCACTGCATCAAATGCATACAAAGATAGTTCAACAAGTCAGGCCTGCCTAAAAGGATCCATCGGATACATCCCACCAGGTGAGATTAAGCATCTCCTCAGTGTGTTGGGTTGTTGGTTGAGTTTGTTCTTTACAGAGTTGTACATATACTTTAGATTCCCTAATTGTGTTTGTAAATGTAAATGCAGAGTATGGCATGAGCGAAGAGATATCAACCAAGGGTGATGTCTACAGTTTTGGAGTGCTTCTGTTGCAAATGATAACAGCGCGAAGTCCAACCGACCGAAAATTCAGTGATGGTGCAAGCCTTCATGAATTTGTTCGTAGAGCAT